TACATGAATGTAAATTCATGAAAACTTTAACTTGGATTGCTAATAAATCACACATTACTATAATATCAAAAATATTTCAGAACAAGTTTCCACCTCCTCCCAGCCTCCCATTTCCCTCCCCCTCCTCCCACCCTTCTCCCCCTCCTCCCACCCTTCTCCCCCTCCTCCCACCCTTCTCCCCCTCCCCCCACTTCTTTCCCCCTCCCTCTCCAGTCCAAAGAGCAGTCAGGGTTCCCTGCCCTATGGTAAGTCCTAGGTCCTCCCCCCTCCGTCCATATCTAGGAAGGTGAATATCCAAACTGGCTAGGCTCCCGCAAAGCCAGCACATTACGTATGATCAAAACCCCTTGCCATTGTCCTTGGCGTCTCATCAGCTCTCATTGTTCGCCATGTTCAGAGAGTCCAGTTTTATCCCATGCTTTTTCAGTCACAGTCCAGCTGGCCTTGGTGAGCTCCCAATAGATCAGCTCCACTGTCTCAGTGGGTGGGTGCACCCCTCGTGGTCCCGACTTCTTTGCTCATTTTTTTAAAATTAAAAAAAAAAATTAAAAAAAAAAAAAAAGATACCAGCACGCAAGGGGAATTGATCTGCGCAGGAGGGAAGGAAGAGAAATTCTTCACAAGCCACAGTTGTAAATCTGAAAATTCAGCAATCCAGGATCTTAGCTAAGGAAAAACCTGAGTCTGCTTAGGAGCTATGGAGGGAGAGAATTAAACAGCACATTCCTTGCTCTAAAATATTCAGATGACCATTGTCAACCCTTCAATTTAAAAATTGGTGCCTATGGCATTGCCCATTTCCCTGGCTAGTCTTCACATTCAATATATCATATTAATATTTCAGTTTCAATAAAAATTAGGTCTTGAAAAAAAATATTTCAGAAATACCGCCATCTTTGAAAACGACATATAAAAATTACAGTACTCAACAAATATTAAGAACTGTTCATCAATTCAATAGTACTTTTATGAAATAAATTTTTGAAATGGAAAACTGTACAGTTGGGACAGCATTTAATGGTGCTGGTGGCTCTTGCAAAAGAATTCACTTCGATTTCCAGTTCATAACTGTCTATATTCCAGCTCACAACTTCAACTCCAGGGGATTCAGTGTTCTCTTCTGACCTCTCTGGTCACCTGAACATATGTGCGTGTACAAACACAAACTCACACATATCTACACATAAATAAAAATAAAATTAAACTCAAAATTTTTATCCTTGGCTTTTAAAGTAATACGAGAGGCAGATCTATTTAAATACATAAAGGTAAAAGCAGAAATTCATAAGTAGATTCACAAAAGCCCGCCACCCTTCAACTATGCATCATTATCAAACTATGAATGAGGTGAAATCATTTGCACATTTTCAATGGGTTAAGAAATGTGGGTCCAGGAGATGGTTCAGTATATAAGGTAACGTGACCACAAACTCACACCCTAACCTGAGTTAATCCCCAGGACCCCTATGCTGGAGAGAACTGAATCCAGTAAATTGTCCACTGTCATTTATTCCTAGGCCTTTGTCACGCATGTGTGCACATGTGGCGTGCGTGCACACACACACACACACAGAGAGAGAGAGAGAGAGAGAGAGAGAATATATAAACAAATCTTAGCAAAGTACATAATATGAAGAGGAATGTCTTTTAACCCAAGACTTTATTTTTAGTACCCTAGAATATTTTCCATTAGACAATTATACTTAGTACTTTGTAAGTTACAGTTACTAATCTTGCCCTATGTGCTCCGATTGGAATTCTTTTTGTTGCATTTTAAAAGGAGAGAAGTCCTAAGGGTGGCTCCTAAAAGGAAATTCTGCTCCTGTCCATTCTTGACTATACTTTTTAGAAGGAACAAGACATTAGTGTTAAGGAAAAAGAGATCTCTTTACTTACAGTTCTGCACATTAGCATGAGCTTGTGTTGAACCCCAGTTTATCCAGCGTAACTACAGCACCGAGGCTGTAGTTTCTGGGACAGATGTCAGCCTTTCAGCTCCTCAGAAAAACAATTTATAATAAAACTACAATGTTAACTACAGTAGGTGAATTATTTAATGTACTGTAACAAACTTTAGTTAACTATCTGCAGTTATATTTAAAGTAGTCTATGGTATACAAGCTAAATTGTTATTAAAACTAAATAATACTGTTATTGTCAGAATTATTTGATTCTAATATATCACAGGGATACCTCTGAAGACCTTAATTTTTTAAAATCTTTTTGTAACTAAATGGTAGTTTGCCTTCTAATCCTTGTGTTAGTTTGAATTGCTACAAACCATGACAATGACTTAATATATAAAATTAATGCATGGGTCTCATTTGGTTCTGTTAAGTGTTTTATTTCACATTTAAATTTTGCTGTTAGAGTTAAAATTGGTAAAAGAGTAGAGCCCTTTAAATGATAAGGAATAATTGTTCTTTTCTAAATAAGATATTGGAAATTTTGATATGTGACTAATTGGGATACAATTCCAAGGACAGAGTTTGCTTGTGATTATTTCTGTTGTTCTTCCTATTAATAACAGATATTAGTGGACTTATATTTTAGGACTGAAGTTTTAGAGATTTAGCTTTTCATATCTATAATCCATATAGAATGTCATTTTATTTCACAATGTGCATTTTAATGAGAAATACAAGCATGTAGAAAAGTTAAATAGCAATTCACACCAAGGGTGTGGTTATAAAGTAGCCTTTCAATGGCATATGATAACTTGTACAAACAACTGCTTCATAATATTAGATTAATCATAGTGATTTCAAAAGAGGACACAAAAGGGAGTCTGAGCAACATGATGTGATGATACAACCTTCTGATTGCTCAGGTAAATGTTCAGGATTACTTGAATGTGGCTTCTGTTTGGAATCTGAGCTCAAGCAAGGAAAAAGGCATAACAGTTGTATTGGCTGGAAAGTTGAGTGGATCTACTGGCGATCTTGGGTTTAATACTAATTTGGAGATTGCTTCCATCCTGATGATATGTAAAAGCTGCTTTGTTAGCCTTTCTTGTGAATAAGTGCAGTATGCTGAGAAGCTTTGGAAATTAGGAATAAAGTCCCTGAAAACATTCAGATCACTTATTACTGGTATGTTAGTAGGGTATAGCTTTGAGTTTTGCAAAGGGAACATTAAAATGCAGATGCCATAAGGTAATGGAACCCTACTTAGAGAAGGGGTGGAATGGCGAGGTTCACCCACTCTGACTGTTTCTAGGTGTTGTGGGCCTATAACTTCTTGGAAGGAATATTAAAAACTGCACAGTACTAAATGCAAATATTACAAAGTTTTGGTCTAGCAAGTGTCAATGCTTCTTTAAACATTAATGTGTTTGACTAGGATGTTAAACTACCATTTAATCATCTAGGAAATTGAAGTTACAATGTATTGCTTTAAGCTTTACTTATACATTACAACTACAGATTTTTTTAGCTCCCTTAAAGCAAAAAATAAAATGAAAAAAAAAATGGTACCAAGAGATATTTATGACATGTGGAGTACAAAAAATAGATATATGTACATATGACTTTCCGTACTGTTTATGGCATTCTATACATAAAAATCTTAATTTTCATAGCTTTGTTGCAGTTCCTAAGAGCTGTCTTATTGGAGCTTGCTTCATAATGCTACCTCTGGCTCTGTGTGCTGTCCAGTAACTAACAAACCTTTCAAGCTGTTTGTGAAATGTCTTCTAGTTAAAGGCAATCACCATGTATTGTCTCTTAGGATAACATTCAAAGCAAATGTGTGTCGTGCTTAATTTTCAGAACTTTGCTGTAATAGAATGAGTGTCTCTAGTTTACTAACCTCACTAAGGTAGAGGTCAGAATGGAGCTGTCTGGCGTGATTAAAATTATGACTCAAGTACAGAAGCTGAAGTTTCAGACATTCTCATACACGCACACATGCACACACACACACATGCATACACTCACACACACTGTAGCATGTGTTTTACAGGCCGAATGCTACAAAGGTCATGTATACATTTTCACACACACACACACACACACACACACACACACCCCACTTCTACTTTATAAGTCCAGTTAAAACTTGTTTGAGAGGTTAAACACTCTAGGAAATCAATACTAGGTAAATTATAAATAAAGCTAATTTAGGTCTCACTCAGCAGAGTTATGAGCTTTTGAATGATTTACACACAATTATAGCCTTGGCTCTTTCTCCTCTATATGTGAAAACACAATCATCAGAGACAGAGTTTTCAAGCTAGATTGTGATGGATTCTGGCTTTAGTCAGCTTGGAGACGATCTTGCCCTTTATCACACCTGCTTCTTATCACATAAAGCCTTAAGTGGAATACGTTTCTGTACATGCTGTATTGTAAAAGAGCTAACAAGTAGAGCGTATCATTTTCAAAATTTATGAGTTCGTGCCAATCATAAAGAGGTCGGAATTTTTCTTTTGTCTAAATAAATGCATTGTGATAGGCAACAAATAGTGGTCAAAAACTGTTGGTCAGAATTTATGACATACGAAGAATACCTCCAAAGAACAGATGATTATTAATAAAATAGTTTCAAGAGACTTCTCTTTAGCTGAGGATACCAAGTGGGTGTGCATGCATGCAAGCATGTGCATATGTGTGTGGCGTGTTTGGTATGCAGATTTGTTCATAGCCAACCACCAGCAGCCAGTTGAATACAAAGAAAACACCATTTCACAGTTAAAGTTGATTCTGCATAGTGACCTCTGACGAGAGTTGAAAATATTTCACAGCAGATGAAGAAGTAGTGTGCTTAATTTTTGTTGCTAACATTTTGTGTTCCCCATTCTGTGTAATTTTATCATTTTCACCTGTAGATTAACAATGATCAGTGCCGTCTTTGCTGCATTCTGCTTAATCTATTAATTGTGGTTTATTTCAAATTTTGTCTAGTTTGAATCATTTCACAAGCTTTGAAATCTTAAACGAGCCATTTCCTTCAAAGGTGCTTCCTCTGTTTTAATGGGCTTCCATTATGTGTTTTTGCAGCAAGCTTAGTAGTGGAGGAGCGAACAAGACAGATGAAAATGAAAGTTCACCGGTTTAAGCAGACAGCGGGGTCTGGGTCTAGTCAAGAACTTGATCGCGAGCAATACTCCAAGGTAAAATTTAAAGTGTCCTGCCAATAGTATCGCCCTGAGAAACAGGCTATATACACTGGGCATATATGTGTATGTGTGTGTATATATTGCAAAACTAGAGAGCACTGAGACATGGAAAGGAGATTGTCGTTAAATATTAGTCTTGCATCATAGTTGTTCATACAGGAGATTGACAAATCTCTTCCACACCTTTATATTTTCAGAAGGTAGATTACATTATTGAAATATTATTTATTACATTTAATAATTTTTCCAATGAGAAAAATAGTGGTATTAAAGATGAGGATTGTCCTGAGTTGTATTAACAAAGTAAGCAGGGTAATTAGAGACATTTGTCAATGAAATAGTAGGATGGTCATTTAGTATTAAATGCATTTATTGACTAGTGAATTAGTGACAATAGCCATACAATCTGACAATATTGCTTATTTACTTATCTATCTTTGGTAAAAAGCATGCTGTTTCAATATCTCAGAAAATGATGTAAATGCTAATAAGCATTTAATTTATATTTCATTATTTTATAAGAATATACTAGATATCCATAAATGTAGTGGCTAATGTTTAATTAAAATGTACAGCCTTATACTATATGAAACACACATCATTATCTGTTTTATTTTAAAATTTCTCTCAAAATAACATTAGGTTCTACTTCATTTCAAATTGATATCAGGAAGCCTTTTTTGTTGTTGTTGTTGTTGTTGTTGTTTGTTTTGAGACAGGGTTTCTCTGAAACTTTGGAGCCTGTCCTGGAACTAACTCTCGTGAACCAGGCTGAGCTGGAACTCACAGAGATCCGCCTGTCTCCGTTCTCCCCTCCCCCCTTATGCTGGGGTTAAAGGCGTGTGCCACCACTGCCCAGCCTCAGGAAACCTTTTTAGTAATAATGACATTTCAGAAACTGAAATAAGTACAAACTACATCAAATCAATACAATAAGTTTAAAATAAAACCTCAAAGTTACTATTAAAAAATAATAATAATCAAGTTTGTTTCATATAGAGCCAGGGAGTCAGTGGTTAATACAAACAGTAGAAACAAAAACAGAATATGGTTTGTCACTTGTATTGTGCCAGCCGGGCAGTTGGGTACTGGGTATCATGTTCTAAAGTAGATGCAGAAACCTACATGCAGCAGAGAAAGTCCATTGATTCAGGAATGCCACAAAGAGTTTGAGACACCTTTTGAAAAAGTAAAATCAGTAAAAAAAAAAAAAGAATATACATATACATACACACACATGCATGCACACGCCAAGCAGAGCCTTGACTACCCTGGAGTAGCTGGATCCAGCTCCGCACATCTGTCTTCTGGTTTGTGGTGGTGTTCTCAGCTGAGCAGTGTGCTAGTCTTTCTTTGTGAATAGCATCATGACTTTAGTGTGCTCACACTGAAAATTCACTAAGAATGAGACAACAGGATAATTTTCAGGGTAGAGTTTTCTTCACAGCATTTGTTAGTTGAAATTAAGGGAAATGCTACAGTTAATTCAGAAATCTGTTCTTGATTTCGTAACCTTCTTCTAATAGTTGAAGTCAAATAGAATGAATAGGGTGGGGGCCAGAGTAGGCTGCAAGAAAGAGATAAGAATTGGAATAAAATACTAAAGGCCACTGGGGTCATTGTGAGCCAGGCTTCTAATTATTAATCAGCCCATCAGAAAAGCCTGTGCAATGAGCTGTTCCACGCATCTGAAGTGTGAGTGTTTTTGTAAACCAGGTAACCTACCCTGCTGAAAGATCTCAAAGTTGCTGCTCAAAGCAAATTAGGTCCTGAAAAGACCTGTCTTCTGTTTTAGTGTCAGTGAGATTGCTCATTGAGCAGACGTGCCTGCCACTAATTCTAAGGACCTAAACTCAGTCCCCAAACATATTGGCATAGGGAGGAAATCAACTGCAGGCTGTCTTCTGACATCCACATACTTGCATGCCTGTGCGCGCGCACATACACACACACACACACACACACACACGCACACACACACTCAATATAAAGCAATGTGGAAAATGTCCTATTATAGCCTAAACACTTCCATTGTGAACCCCAATACTTAAAGAAACAGAATTTATTTACCAAAGTTAGTAGACTCTGTGCAGAGTGACTCGAGGCTTAGGTACCCCTCAATTCTGTTGTCACATCACTAAGGACACACTGCAGTCTAGCCTGCCCCATAGCCTTGTGTCCTCAATGGCTTTCATTTGCCTTATCTATTAATGTTTTCCTCTTTACTTGTAAAGACACCCCTTGTCCATATTTTGTTGAATTTGAATATCTTAAAAACAAAATCATTTTGTGGTGGAAAACTGGTTCCGTGGTAAGACCTGAAGCTCATACTGTTCTTCTGGGGAACCCAAGTTTGGTTCCCAGCACCTTCCTCAGGCAGCTTCCAACTGCTGTGACTCCAGCTCCGAGAGGCGTGCAGAGCCCTGCTGGCCTCCAAGGGTACATGCACACATGTGCACAAACCCACACGTAGGCACATACAAACACATAACTAAAAATAATTTTAAAAAAGAACAACTTTCATTTTTAATATTGTAAGTTATCTTCAAAATGGAATGTTTCATTGTGACCCAATCATACACATACATCAATGAACTAGGCTCACATTCCCATGTCTCCCCATACCTGTCTCCTTCCTTCTCCCCAAGGGGCCCCTGTGTGTTTTCATTTACTTACGTATGAGTTATATGAATCTATATAAGTGTGTTGCGGCACGGCTTTAATCCCAGCACTCGGGAGGCAGAGACAGGTGGATTTCTGTGAGTTTGAGGCCAGCCTGGTCTAGAAGAGCTAGTTCCAGGACAGGCCCCAAAACCCTGTCTTTCAAAACCCTGTCTTGAAAAACGAAACAAAATAATAATAACAATAAAAATAAATAGGTAGATAGATAGATAGATAGATATAAATGAAAAATATACATCTAACTTTTGATCTGCATGTGAAAAACTATGAAAAACATGACCTGCATATAATATAATTTTATTATTAAGAATAGAATTATACAGTTCAGTTATAAATGTATAACCAAAAAACATGAGATCAGAGGTGTGGTATTAAAATGTTTAAAGAACATTATAAATGAATTTGTGTGAAGCAAAATAACAATTGCTGTCAGTGTTTTTTATGTATCAAATAAAAAAATTATATTCATCCCAACTAAAATATTTATATTCTAGGCCAACGTTTCTAACGAAGTTGTAATTGAATTTATTATACATAAAAAAAATCATTGCATCTGGGAGTAGTGGATAGTAGCTGTTTCAATTAGTTCAAAACTCTTTTTTATATTTTCAGGGTAGGGTTATCTTTTTAATCAAAAACATTTTAATTTTCAAAAAACTTCTATTGCTCCAAAATAGTGTCAGTATGTAGTATATATGTAGTATATATTAAATTTTGAACTTTCCCCTTACAGTATTTATGCACTTAACATATTTGATAAAATAATTAAAATTCAGTGCTAACAAATTTGACAAATGGTTGAAAATTCGACCGTATGAGAAATGAGGTGACCATTCCCAGAATCTTTTTACTTGCCAGCAAGGCTAGATTATGTGTCTCGTGCTAAAACATCACCAGGTGAGTACAATCCCCCCCACCTTTGTCAGCTGGTCTTTCTCTAAAGGAGCAAATGCTCCTACTCCTCATCCTGAGTGAGGAATTCCTACTGGCTTGCCTGCTTTCGAACCTTTAAAATGCATCACTGTGCTTTATATTTGATTTTTGATTTTATTGTTTGGAGTAAAGGCCTCTCTGATAAGTAGACTTCATAACTGGAGGATAAAGCCACGCTTAGGCCCTCACGTTTTAAAGGACTCTTTGTCTATAATCCCAAAGCAGCCATCAAGATCACTGCAAGGGTTGGTGAAGATGCCTGCAGTGTTTATTATTACTGACCTCTGAAAACTGTGATCCTATAATTAAGAGCTTCCTCTTGGGGAAGGAAGCTAGACTGACTTCCCTGAAGTATGGCCGAATACATTCCCCTGAGGATACTTTATTCTTTAATGTATAATAAATGTGTTTGGATGAAAGTATTAAAATGTTAAAGAGGAAATTTAACAAATAATTCTTGTTGAAAAAAAGTAGAGCATATTTCAAAGGTTAACATGTTTTTGAAAATCAGTAAAAAATTATAGTAGTAAAGAGTAAATATAAAGTCCCTCATTTCCTTCAGTATTGTGGGAGAAATTGTAATCTTAAAATAATTATGGTATTATTACATTTCCCAGTAGAGTAGAACATATGATGAGATTTTCATTCTCTGTTTTCTAGAAGAGCAAAGGTCTCTATAGAAGTAGGCTGGGATAGAGAAGTAGGCTGGGATAGAGAAGTAGGCTGGGATAGAGAAGTAGGCTGGGATAGAGAAGTAGGCTGGGATAGAGACAACTTGCTTACAACTCTTCAAGCTACTCTCCATATGCTTCGTACTGCTAGCTGTTTGTTCTGGCTGACAAAACAGTGGAAGAGCATGCAGGATACCTAGATAAAGTCTCAGGGCATTGGATCTCACTTATTTCTTGTCTTAATATTTGTAGATATAATGAATAAATATATGATGCATCTTTGGTTACAGTAGTTTAATTTAGGAATTATGTTTAATACTCTGATATTGTTCAAATCAGGTTCCAATCATCATTATAAGTTTCCCTATAAATCTGTAGATTAGAAATTGTTCTGAATGAAATGAGTTGTATTGGACAGAATCATCTATCAGGTGTGACAAGAGTTTGCTGGTGAACTGAAGTACCACATTGCATGGAATACATGAGTCATATGAATTTGAGAGTAAATACTAATTCGGCTTTATGTGAATATGTGAATATCCCTTATGTCTTAGTAAGATCTTCGGCTTTCAGAGGTAAACATCATTGTGATAGAACTTTAGAAAATTTATTTTGTAGATATACCATAAAATGTATATACTTTTCAGGATACAAAATTCATAGACAAATTCATACACATAAGAGGCAAAGACTTTAAACGAGATTGCTTCAAGAAGAAAGCTCTCACACATAAGGGATCCCAAAATGAATGTGAACACCATCTGTGGAATTACTTGAATTACTTCTTAAATTCAAGGGTTTTAGAGTTCACTTATATGGTATATTTGAGAAAGATAGTTCAAATTCACCAAGATTCATGCTCCAGAGCATTAGAGGACAGGTGACTGTCCTAAAGACCAACAAGCACTTTTCCCATTTATTGTTCACAGTCTAACATTCACTTGCTTAGTGGGAAATAATAGGGATTGTCATATTTTATTTTATGTAAACAAATGTAGTTCTTTGTTGGAGGAAGGGGCCACTTGTTGATTCTCGGCCGCCCGGCTAGCTTAGACCCAAGATATTCACACAGAAACTATTCTGATACCAAGAAAACACTTACTTAAATATTGGTTATTTATGGCTGGAAAAACTTGTCTCTTCTATAGTTATAACATAATATATTCACCATATATTCCATCCCAATAGGACAATAGAAAAGGATTATCTCCTTTGTAATTTTGCAGGGTGTCTTATCTGATGATTTCTGAATATTGGAAATAAAGCCCAAAAAGTAAAGATATGCAAGATAAGAATCTGATGAAACGTCAGTTTAAGAAATGAGTAACGCAATTTTAGGTTTTCAGCACATACAAAGGATTCTTAGACATTTTCCGTGCAAGCACTTTAATTGCGTGCTCACTCTTCATAAGCCATATCCCATCATTGAAAAGATGTCTGATTTTTATTGAGATTTACAATATTATTGCTGGCCTGGACATCAGCTTCCATTCTTCCCTTGATAGAGGTAATCTTTGACTTGCTTTGTTTAGGCAGTCATTGTCCTCGAGGTCACTTGTTTCTGTTCCGCGATCCGATGGTGGCGCTCATCCTCTCTTGTTTTTAATCTTCAGTATAACATACATAAAGATCAGTACAGAAGCTGTGATAACGTCTCCGCCAAGTCATCAGATAGTGATGTCAGTGATGTGTCCGCCATTTCCCGAACCAGCAGTGCCTCACGCCTCAGCAGCACAAGCTTTATGTCCGAGCAATCTGAGCGCCCCAGGGGTAGGATCAGGTGAGTTGGCAATGCTCTTTATCTTAATCATATCTATATCCATCTCCATGGTATGAAAGTCATCTAGCTTCCAGAATATTTTTTTGGAGAGTATTGTTTAGGCCATGTAATGGAAACATCTCATTATAACGGCTAGGTGGGGTAAGCATGTACAACCCATTCTATATATCACTAATAGAGTATTTGACACTGTTCCCTGTAAACTTAATTTAATTACCATAGTCAAAACTTTGAAAGTTGCTCAGAGTTGTAATTGAAGGGGGTCCTCATAATATAATATAATCAGGAGTGCATCTTTTATTCCAGCATTTGAAAGTTTTTTCTTTAAGAGATCATATAAAAAGCATTTTATGGTTAATAGAGAGTATGTGTTATAACTATTCAACCATATCATCAGTGTGAAAGTCTGGCATATAAGCGACTATGGATGTGTGTGTACATGTGTAACTATGTATGTATGCGTGCATCTCTAGCCACTTTTATAGAAAAGTTACAAACTCTTTATTTCCCCAAGGACGATAGATTTTTTTTCCTTAACTCCTACTTCAGTCATAATAATGGATCTACTTTCAAGTTTCAAGCATAGCAGATATGAGAACAAAACTTACATCCCTGATTCTCGTTGTCTGAGTTGTAAAACGTGTGCACCGTTTGTTACATCACCAAGTGTTCTTTTGTTCTTATGTGACTAGTACCCTGAAGAAAGCCATGTAGAAAGAACTTCAGACATCAGGCGCTGTCCAGCCTGAGCCTTGTTTTTGGAAACAGAAGTTTATAGAAGCAATCTGGGGAATAGAAGGGCTTTCTAACTAAATATGAATGCTAAAAATAGAGACAAATATTTTTCTATAACTCTAAATTCCACATTTTTCTGCACATTAAATTGTAGCCTGAAATTTCCCCTTGGATTTCCAGCCCCATTACTTCCATGCTGAGGGAAGAACCATGATCTTGTTAACAGTTTCATGATATCATGATCTAGATGAGCAATTGCCAGGACTTTATCAAGACAGGGGAGAAAGGAAAAGAAACTGCAGGCAGCTTAACGGTGGACTGTGATTTGCTTTTTTTTTTCCTTTTAAATGTTTTATTCATTTTACACACCAGCCGCATTTCCTCCTCCCTCACCTTCTCCTGCTCCTCTCCACCTTCCCTAACCCACCCCCATCCACTCCTCTGAAAGTGTGAGGCCTCCCATTAGGAGTCAACAAAGCCACTCCCCCACCCCTGCATCAAGGCTGAAAAAGGCATCCCACGTAGGGAATGACTTCCTACTAAGAGTGTTAGGTGGGAAGGTTGATAGTGCAGCTGAGGGGGAAATTCCAACCATAAAGGAAAACTGAGTGCTTGACTAAGCAAAGAGTAAAAGCACAAAGATCTGTTTATCCTGACTCCTGAGCTTTCTGATTTGAAACTTGTAGGAAGAAGGCTTCCTCTGAAGAGCTCATAGAAGACTTGCTTCCTGGCAGCCCATCTAAGCTTTCTGTTTCTACCCTTCCCCTGATCTGTAGCTTAACACCCTTAGTTACTGGAATTTTAAGTAAACTCATGTGATAGCTAAGAAAGTTTCCTCTGTAGCTAGGATGAGTCCCATGTTTTGTGTCACAGTCTCCTGACTCGCCAAAGCTAGAAAATCTTTCATATATTATTCTATATTATTTCCCATATGTATCTACATAAATGCAAAATACACATGGAACTGGAGAAGTGACTCGGACGTTAAGAGCCCTGGCTACCCTTCCAGAGGGCCAGGATACATTTCCCAGCCTCCATATGGGAGTTCCCAGCAGTTGGTAATTCCAGTTCCATAGAATCTGATGTCCTCTTTTGACCTCTGTACCTAGTGCACAGTCATTTGTTTAGGTGAAACACTCATACCATAAAATAAAGTGAAATAGAAAATCAACACATACATAGAGGCCCTTGCACACCGCATCACAGGACACCACATTGCTCTTTGCTGCCAACACCAACCCTCTCCAAAAAGCTTGAGATGGCTGAGTTTGTAATGCAAGGCAGTTACTAACCAGGGTAGAAGTAGAAGAGGCATGGGGTGTCCCCCATTGAAAATACTCTCTCCGCTCTTATTGCAAACTATGAATGATAACTGTTGATTCTTCCCTTCTTTCTATTCAGTAGTTAACATCTTCATGGATTGTTAAATACTTTATGTTTAAAGCCACTATTGGAAAAAAAAAGGACAAAATCGATCAGTCTCAGTGATAGAATGTATTTAATATCAACATTTTGAGTTCCTATTATATGTAAGGACTTTATTCCTCTAAAGAGTGTATTATTGTGTAAGACTTAGACCAAGAACTGAGGGGGATTTTAAATTGTTATGCCTAATGTTTGAACACTTACCTTACATTCCAGAGATCTGGGTACACCCCCTGCCATTCTAACATGATGTAAACCATTTTCTTATGTGCTGCCTCACGTGGTCTTCACTGGGAGAGCTAGCAAAAGAATTCAGAGGACATTATAGGAGTTCTTAAAAGTCAATTTATTGCCCTAAAAGTCACCCTAAAATCTAATGTGTCAGGAAGGTCTATAAATAGAAATCATCTAACATGGCCTTGATTTTTTTATATAACACAATCAGATATTGTCACTTAAAATACCTAATTTTTCCCAAATCTGACTACTGCATGTTTAGCACGCAGGAAGTACTCCATCCATAGTTGATTCGGGGATTCATCCGAATATGATCAGGCAGTTGCACGTGAGCTGAAAGAGATCGTGCCTTCCTCCAGACATGTCCACTTCTGGTGTGCTCAATCGGAAGTCCTCTCCTGATACAGTAAATATTTTATTCAAAACAATGCAAAGCATAGTTTATGTTTTCAATGTCAATTTCTGGGAAAGTGCAGAAAGAAGAGAAACCAGACTGCATTATTTGTTTTAGGGTAAATATTTTGAAGATATAATTACCTAAAAGTTGTAGAAATGGGTTACAGACTGTTCACAAAGGTGAAGATGTTTTGATAAGATAGATTCAATACTTAATACCCCACATAATAGGCATCAATGAGGACTTGATTTCTAGTATCTCTGATGCATTCTGTGTATACTTATATTTGGAAACTTCTTTGGGCCTAACTTGTTCTCAAAGATGTTTCTGTGTCGGAGTACAATATATGATTAGTATAGACAGGAGTATGTATCATAATTAGTAATAAAAATGTGTACATTAAAGCTGGGGAAATAGCTCAGTCAATAAAGTGCATGCCATTTGAACAATTGGACCTGAGTTGGGGTACCCTGAAGCCAACAAAAATGTGGGTGCAGCAGTGTGTGCATTATTTCAGAGCTGGGAAAGCAGAGACAAGAAGATCCCTGGGGATTATTGACCATCAAGTGCAGTCAAAACAAGAAGCTCCAGATTTGGTGACTAATCTTATTCAGAAAAGAAGGAAGAAGGAATGGAGAACCAGCTCAGTGATTAAGGGTTCTTTCTGTCTTGCAGAGGATGAGTGGGTTCCCACCTCCCAACCACTTGTAACGGCAGGTCCTGGGTATTCATCATCTTCATAAGCTACTGTTCTCATATGTATGTGCCTACACACAGACACATACCCAGAAAAATAATTAAAAATAAGAAAAACGGCTAGTCGGTGGTGGTGCACGCTTTTAGTCCTTACACTCGGGAGACTGAGGCAGGCAGTTCTCTGTGCGTTCAAGGCCAGCCTGGTCTACAGAGCAAGTTTCAGGACAGGCAGCACTGTTCCACAGAAAAACCCCATCTTGAAAACTATATGCATGTGTGTATATCTGTGTGTGTCTATACTAAAAGTGATTCTTTTATTAAAAAGCAGAGAGTGATTGAGAAAGACGGCTGACATTAGCCTTTATCATCTACCCAATCATACAATCTATACTTATCTTGAACTCATAAACACACAACATAATACATTTACTAGAAGCCAAACATTTATATACTTTCTGAATTCTCTGTCTTCATCTTTAAAAGGAGGTCAGTTTTCATGGTTAATTTAAACATGTTTTCACTTTTATATGCATCCCTTTCATTCATGCCAAAGAAATTTCAGTTGTTTTCTATAACAACAAAATCTAACAAAAATATAAGTATAATATTAAAATCTCTTTCAGAGCTTACACAATTCTATATTTTACTTTTTTCTTTGACAATTTCATGCAACGTGTTTTGATTATAATCAACCCCTACCCGCAATTCCACCCTGATCTACCTGTATTCCCTACCCAACTCTGTGTCCTTCTTCCTCTTTATAACTTAAGTCCAATTTATGTTGCTATACTATTAGATGTGTAGCCTTCCAATGGAGTATGATTGACTTACCAGAGGTTATACTCTTTTTTTAATTAATTTTTTTTCATTTATTTTGCCTACCAACCTCAGTTCCCCTCCCTGCTTTCTTCTGGTTCCCTCCCCCTGTCTCCCATATACACTTTCCCCGTACACTCCTCCTCTCTTGACTCCACTCAGAAAAGGGCAAGCCTCCCATGGACTTGAAAAGAGCATGTCACATCCAAGCTCCTCCCCCTACATCAAGGCTGGGCAAGTTAATCTAGCTTTGGAAACCGGTTCCCCCCAAAAACCAAATTCAAGCACCAGGGACAGGTCCTGACCTCTCTTCTAGGAGCCTTACAAACAGACCAAGCTACACAAATGTCAAACACATCCAGAGGGCCTAGTTCTATGCCTTGCAGGTTCTCTGGGGACAGAGTGCTTGAGCTCCCACAAGCTCAGGTCACCTGTCTCTGTGGGTTTCCCTTGACCTTGGCTATACTCTTAAAGAAAACAGATTTTCCCTTTCTCTTCAGCAGGCAATTGACAATAACTCCTCGGCTAGGGTAAGACTTTGTGCCCCCCTCCCCTCGCCAAACTGAGACTTGGTGGTCTGTCTTCAGCTGTCACCACTGCTGTGAGTTCATATGTGCAACTGCTCTGCTGTTTCTGGGTGACACTGTTTCCTTGTTGTCATCTCTGGCTCTTACACCCTTTACATCCTCTCTTT